TAAGAAATTCCTCCTGTAGCACTCCTAATAGTAGCAGTTTTCCACTTGTTTGTGAGAGTATTTAATTGATAATCTTGTATTAACATATATATTTCATGAGAGCAGGAGCTACAGTATATTTGTTTTGCTCTGTCTTAAAGCTTCAGTGCCTAACAGATGTTAGGCCCCTGACTAATATTTGCTGAAACAAAGAAAGGAAGGAAAAAGAAGGAAAGTTCCCTGAAATGTAGTCACTTATAGTTACCTCGAAGCATGAATTTGAACTGAATATAGTCCACAAATTTATTATGATGAGTGCCTGTAACTCATCACACAGACTCTTGAGTGTCAAAGTCATTGTTACTTTCTTTACAATATGTGTGCCTTCATGAAAGATCTTAAGTGTGAGAGTTTTATTATGCTATTTAAATTTTTTAATTGTTTTTTCATTGATACATAATTTTACCTATTTATAGGGTACAGCATGATTTTTTAAAATATGAACACAATGTGTAATGATCAAACACACCTCACATCTCAAACGTTTATCATTATTTTGAGTTGGGAACATTTAAAATTCTCTCCACTAAGTATATTGAAATATCAAATAAATTAATGTTAATTATAGTCACTCTACTGGGCATAGAATGCTAGAACTTGTGCCTCTGATGTAATTGTAATTTTATGTGTGTTAACCAGTATTTTCCTAATTTCCTCCCCAACTATCCTCCCCTGATTTTGTATTGTGCAATTTTGAGGAGCAAGGTTTTCTGGAGCCTTCGGTTCTACGACTTTTACTGAGTCATTTCCCTTTCAGGCACCTTCTCAATGTTCCCATGTAGTGAAGACTGGAAGCCAAATGTCTGAACCTGATGTTCACAGCTCTGTAATCTTACTCCACCGTAACCATTTCATCTCAATACCCATTATTCTCCAACGCAAACCTACCACCCCAGCCAAATGCCTTATTGCCTCCTAAAGTCACTACACTTTTCAGCTCTGAGGCTGTGTTTAGTTTGTTATTTCTGAATTTCTATAGAATTTGTCCAGAAACTTTGCATTTTAGGTACATGATTATATTGATTATATAGCAGCTTAATATTGTATGTCTCGAATTATTATTGTAAGAAATAATGTAAACAAGTACTTTCCCAGGTAGTAAAGAAGTAAAAAAGTATCTTAAAAACTCACCTACACATAATGATAAAGACTGGATCATGTAAGAATCATTAATCAATGTTAAATCTGTGGGAGAAGATCTTCGAGGAGGAGTAGGATGTACACATGATCTTAAAGTATCCCCCCCAATGACTACTAATGAGTAAATATACAGGAATAAGTGACTTTCTTAACCAGGTTCAAAACAAACAGCTCCATTAGAGGAAGGCAGACAATGTACAGCTCTGGACATGTTAATCTGAGCATGTATGTATTGTCACTTACATAGCATTATGGTTAGAAATGCATAAATTCAGTAGAATCATTAGTAAACATCTATCCATATTTCAAAGAGAAACAAAGAGAAGAGCTGCTGGGCCAGCTGGTGGTGTGATGGTTAAGGTGGCTGGAACCCACATGGTAAGCTGTGTGGTTTGAGTCCTGGGACCTGTGGCTTGAAAAATATTCCAGGGTATGTGTTTATTGCATACCCAAAATCCTAAGAAGAAAATGTAGAAGATATCTGGCATGACCATTTCCCCTTGGGGGTGATTTCTCACTTTCCCTCTCTCTTCCTCTATCTCTCTCACTTTCTTTCCCCTCTTTCTCTCTAATGAGTGTACATGCCGTATGGCAAGTTAAAAAAAATTAAAGAAGCTGCCTGATTAAAAAAACTTCAATGCCATAAAGAAATAAAGGCTAAGGAACCTTTAATAAAACTAAAGAGATACAGTGTATTAGTTTACCATAGGGAAGCAAAGGAGCACACAACTACAGAAATATACTCTGAAGAAGTAGGTAGTAAGTATAGTACCAGATGCTTAAAAATGAGAGTCCCAAGAAATAACAGAAAACCAGGAAATACCTCCTCCCCACCAAAGGAACATAATAACCCCTTATCAACAATGGATAAAACACAAGAGATCACAGAAATGTCAGAAAGAATTCAGAATATTCATCGTAACAAAACTCAGTGAGATGCAAAAGAAAACAGACAACCAATTCCAGGAGATAAAATCTTTTCATAACTTTTCTAAACCCTTGAATAAGTTGTGAACATTATAACTATTTACCTCTAAATACTTCAGTGTCTACTTCCTATGGTAAGGTTAGTCTCTTTATTTCATTCCAGTATATTTGCAACTTTAATCTATTTGTTATATTTCAATTTTTTCCCCAATAATTCAATATTTGTTCTTTCTATAATAATATTACTAGCAAATTGAAAGGACCAGAAATATTTAGGTATTTTTAAGGTAAGAAAGTTAAAGGAAATCCCAACAGGCTGGCAATATTATAGTTTTGAAGAGTTTAAGCAGACTTGGTAATTATCCTTGGATTTAAACACTAACTTGGTGATCACACTCTACTATTTGTGAAAAAGAATCTGCTAGGTAATTTTCTAAGAGGGCCCTCAGAAAAGTAGACTCTGTTTTTCAGGAATACTTAGCTGATTTTTAAAACAAAAACAAACAAAAATAAAGTGTGTTCTATTCTAGAGCTTTCTTCTTTCCAGTCCCTCAGGCAGAATTTTATTGCTTTGGCCCCAGAGACTCTTTCTGGCACCCACTCCCACTCCACCCACTATTGTTTAAAGACAAAAGATAAGGCAGCTGGGACTCTGACCACTAACAAATAATCAGTGGCCTTTCCACTGGGAAACTCCTCTGGTCTTGGCAGAAATTAACATTTCTAAATGAAGGTAAAACAAAGGGTAAGACCCCTGTTTCTGACCAGAGCCCTGTGCACGGGCTTGTTTTTCTTGCCAACTGTGGTGGCCAAGAACTGTTTCTCCAGTTGTGCCAGTTCAGCATGCCAAGATCAAATAATAGTGGACTTTTCTCAATTACAGAAACAAGCACAAAATATGGGCAATGAATGGCTTTATTTTTATAAGCTTGGCTCTTGCTATCACTAGCCTATACTCAAATCTATGATTTAGCACAGTCTATGATTATACCAGTGCAAAATAATCTATTTAGTTATTTTCCGTTTATCACTTGCTTTTCAGAGAGCAGCAGGATTTCTTTGAATCAGTTTGGCAGTCACTCTCATAAATGCTGTTGGGGGGGGCGTTGAAAGCATGGGTCTTTACAACCTAGAAGCTTCCCTTTTCAGTACTTTCCGTGGGGTTGTGATTATTTATAGTCACCACCCCCCCTCCCTTCCTCAACCAGGGCATAAGAGCCAATTGACCTGGGGAGGTCTTTATAAAACATTGTCATTTTCTACTTTCACAGTCTGGGGCAAAACACTTCTGGGTTGTAAGAATAATAATGACTAACCTGCCTTCCTCATAATCATAGTAGGAAATAAATAGTGACATCATTTTATAAATGGAAATGTCTTATAAAAAGTCCAATCATTTCCTTCCAATTATTATTACAGATTTTGAACATAAGGCCCTTACCTAATTGATGTATTGTTTCCTTCTTAAAGTATCTGGCAAAGCACTAATTCCACAGTTTTTCCATACAAAATATTTGCAGCCTGCGTGATCAAATGACTGACTTTATTAACTTTGAGGCTGCTATTATTTTACATTTCTATTTTCAGAATATTTCCCCAATTCAAAATAGACATTCATTTGGGATTGAGGATAATGGTTCAACATCAACATGAAGAAATATGTTCTGAGAAGTTCTAAGGAACATTAGGAAGTCTAGGGTAAAATGCTTAAAATGCAAAGAAATAGAGCCTTTGACCTTCTCTTGAAATGATAGCCTTGTGTGTTTGAAAGGCATTTTAAACACAAACACATAATAATGTGCTTAAATTGGTAACGATATTGATGACTGACAATAATTACTCAAAACATACAACAATGTGCACAAAGTAGATGTAAGTACTTGACAAATTATGATGAATGTTGCAGAGAAGAAAGAAATCCAATGTTTTAAATGTACTAAAGAAGCAATATAGTAGTTAAAATGAATCAATACAAAATATGCCAAGAGTAGGTTGAAAAATATGAACAAGTGCATATTGGTATATATAGTGTAATAGCCTTCACAAAATCTTTTTCAACGTGTGGAAAGCATGGCACTTTATGTATAAAGGTATTCTTTGCAGTAAAAAGTAGAAGAGCATGTGGGGACTGTACACTGATCTGCTCTACCCCACGCTTGGGGATGCTGTCCTCTTCCCAAGCTCTGAAAGCATGCACTGGAATGAAACATTCCAACTTACAATACTTATTACCACTAAGAGACACAGCAGGGATTAACAGAGATAGGACAGAAGCACAGGATGTTAATTATAATGTTCCATTAGTTAAAAATATATTTGAAGCAAATCTTACACAGTGATGCACAGATACTACCTTATTCCCTATGCTTGTAGTATTTCTTGATGTTTGAATTCTAATGCTATGTAATGAGAAAATAGGTAAAAATTTCTTGATTTTGGTAACAGCAGTGTTTATTAATTGTAATCACATACTTTATTGGAAAGTTCTGGGAATCGACTACAGTACTAATAAATCCAGAGATAAAATGTCTTGTATTCTTAAATGAAAAAGGAAAGAGGAGACCTTCTTAGGTATGAAGAAATTTACATAACTTTACACTCAAGCCTTTTTTGGGGGACAGTCATGGAAAAAGAAATCTGTGGCTATCTCTAAAGAAAATGATCTTATTTACTTTGGGAGTACAAGCCTAAAACATGTACTGAAATGCTCATTGATAAAGTTTAAAGGTTTATTGGGGGGGAAAAAACTGCAAATCAACTTCTAATGATACCTTCTTCAAATCTTGAGAATTAAAAAGCTGCTAAATGGCAGATCACTTCCTATCTCACTATGAATGATCTCATCTCTTCTGTCTGCTATTATCATTAAACTCATAAATACACAGTTTACATACCAAAACGTCCATCCCGGGGACATATTTGAGGGATATCATATAGTCTTTTGGAAGATTTGCCACCTACAGAGACAAAACAAGGAGAGAAGGAAGAATTCCATAAGAAAATTCATACACATCAACTAATATTTTTTAGAAGCTTAAAGAAAAACACATACACACAAACTTTTTATACTTTTTTTAGGTTATCATGGAATTTCACTATTTTCCTATATCTCAATTTTCTGTCCTCAATTTCCCTTTGTAATTAAATGTTCCCTCAAAAAAAAATACAATAATACAAAGCTTTTGGACTCCAAATTCAGTTATGGTTGGCTAAGTATAACCCACTGAGTTTTGGAAACACAATCTGAATCTCAACTTCCATTTGTGGTCTTGGAATTCCCCTCCAGGACAATTTTCTCATTTGTTCCTCCACAGACTTAGTAATAAAGTATGCTTTTCTTGTCAATAGTCTTCATACTTTGGACCTGGAACAAGGAACCTGTCAAAAGTACAAAGTCTCTGTCATAGCAGACCTACTGAATCTTACTGAACAAGTCCTCTCTAGGGGTTCAAATTTGACAACTAAACTTCAAAAGTACAATACTCCTTATGAGATGTAAATGCTTTATAACTTCAGTGATATCGATTTAGTTTTGCAATTTAACTTAATCTACTTTACCTAGAGTTCAACATATACATGCTTCAAACATTTGTCTGGTTTCTTCTAAAGGCTTTTAAAAATGTCTAACTTATTTGTCAGTCATTGTGGCATATATGAGTAAGTAATAAATTGTAAGCCAGGGAATCTGGAACAAATCTAAACAATTGTTACATGTTAGTTCCCTCATTTGTAAAATGGGGCTCAAGGTAACTATAAGCAAATAGGCATTTGGAGGTGAGATAAATGAATGTAGAAAATACATGAAAACTCCAACCATATTCTTTATTGCCAACTACATTAGCAACTGACTTTGGAGACACATAACCATGCTAAGTTACAGAGTACTGGGTTTTCTTCTCTCTCTTCCTATGTATAGCACTAGGTCTGTCAGCCATACTATTCTCTTATACCACTATTAAAATTTCCAACTGAATGACATAATCAGCAATTGACTTAGCTCGTTGGGTATTTAGGACAATATACAATGTAAAAAGAAGTGGTTTTGCACCATTACATATTCTCTAGTGGGTCTACCTCGCTTTGTAGACTGATTCATCATGTCTCCAAAAATTTTTTTATTTTCCCTATAAAAAAGGAAATGTGAGAACCAGCAGTTAGCGTAATGGCTATGTTGCTGGGCTCACATGTAGTCGACCACGGTTCGAGTCCCAGACCGGTAGCTTAAACTCACGCCAGGCACGTGTGTGTGTGTGCCCAAGATTCTGAGAGGAGAATGGAGGAGAGGGGATTGCAGCGTAGCCATCCCCCCTGGGGGGTGATTTCTCACTTTCTATCTCTCTGTCTCTCTTTGTCTGTCTGGTGAGTGCATGCGCCCTATAGCAAAAACCTCTTTTAAAAAAAAAAAGGAAATGTGCATATTTGCTGATCTAAATCATCTCCCCTAACTTTCCCGTAACATGAATCCATGTAGATCTTCTCTGTTTGCCAGTAGCTTTTAGAATCAGAACAATCTGGCAAGAAACAAATATAGTCAAAGGTATATGTAGTCAGAAGGGACAGTAGTAACTGATCTCACGGTGTTCACTACTGTCCTATTTCCATTAGTCCCACCTCACACTCTCCTACACTCGAGCGGAGGCACCTATCTAGCTGTTCCCTTCTCTGTTCACTAGATCATAAAACAGTAACTGTGCCTAATACTTACTCACTATGTGCCAGGCACTGTGCTCCTTAAAGGATTTAAGTTGTATTATCACATCTGATTCTCAGATCCTTTTGACATATTAACTATATTTAACAGATAAGTAAATTGAGTCTCAAAAAGGTCAAGTAAGTTAACAAAGGCCACAGGGCCACCACGTGTTAAATCTGGGCTAGAATCCAGGTCGTCCTGACAGCAAAAGCTCCCTTGCCTGAGTTCCACTACACATTTTCATCTACTCTCTGGACACCTGTCCTGGATACTTGCCACTTATGAGTCTCCACCATCCATCCTCATCCTGCTCCCAGTAAAATAGTACGATCCTTGCTACTTACTGAAAACACATCCGCACTGCTGCAGACGGTGGCATTTCTCATTTACATTATTTTAGGGGTTAACTCTCTTGCTCTTTTTACTTTACTTCCTTCCTCCCTTACAAATTTCCCACTATGTTCCCATAATTTCTTTTGTCTTTTGATTTTTTATCCACATCTTTGAAAAGCAAAATGACCTATTCATTTTCCATAAGCCCTGGTGACAAAGATACAGCAGACACCTTTGTAGGTATGAAAACTGGAATATAAGCCAACAATGTAAATTAAAGCTCTCCAAGATGTAAAAATGCAGCAAGATGTAGTAGATATTCTGAACACAAACTGCTTGACAATCTAGCCCCCTCTTAAACATTATTTACAGTATCTTACAAATACAAATAGAGAATCAATTGAATTAGAAAATTCAGGATCTAAGTCTATCTCTAAACAGCAGAGAAAGTGAAAATATACTAGCCACTTATATTTTATGAATATATGCAAAAATTCAAAGATGTCAAAGAAAGCTTACAAGAAATTCTCTAACGAAGATGCTGAAATCTCAGTATACCATTTGGGGGATATCATTCTGCATTAAGCTGATTTATTGATATTTAATTTCTTAAAGAACTGAAAAATAAAACTAATTTTGGAAAGTGCTTTATAATGTATAGCAAGTTTTCACATACAGTCGCTATTTCAACCTTATGAAATCTTATTAGGGCTGTTTTATAAATGAGGACATGGAGGTTCAGAGAGGTTAACTGGCATCACTAAAGTCACAGGCATCAGGAGTAACTGGTGAAGGAAGGATGCAGGTCCTGGCTCTGTGTGCTGGTGCTCAACACACCTGTCTACAGGGCAGTCCACCCTTAGACTTTCTTGGCTTTCATTGGCTCCTTTCTAATTACATTTGGAAGAGAACTTAGAAAGCTCAGTTGTAGATATTTATGGTCATTTTATCAAATATTATATTACTTTCAAAGCATTTATAGTATGTCAAATAGTATTCAGAAAGCACAAGTAACCTTGTGATAAATTCAGCTTGACCACTGTGGAAAGTTTTACAAAGTAGAGTGAGGCCTTCAACCTGGAGCTTAGACAATGTTCTGTAGTGAGTTGGATGTAGGGACCAAGAGTATAGGTTCTGGAGTCAGATTGAATCCTGGTCCTTGGATTCTACACGTGTAAATGGGAATCACGATAGAATCTAGCTCATAGATTTATAAGGATTAAATAACTCATGTAAAATATAAGTTCTTAAGCATGGTTTGTGAGTAAGGATGAGTTTAGATTAAGATTAAATGCAAGGAGACTGAGGCATTCTATTAGGTCATCTGGAAAGTCATGATGTATTTTTCTTTTTTCTTTTTTTTTAGAGAGATTTTTGTTATAGGGCACGTGTGCTCACTGGAGAGACAGAGAAACAGAAATCAAGAAATCACCCCCCCTGGGGGGCGACCATGCTGCAATCCCTTCTTCTCTAGTCTCCTCTTGGGATCTTGGGCACGCACACACATGTGCCTGACATGAGTTTTAAGCTGTTGGGTCCAGGACTTGAACTATGGTCATCTATGTGGGAGTACAGCAACATAACCGTTATGCTATGTGCTGATTCCTTTTCTGTGTTTTACTATGCAGAGATGTGTCATGACTTTCCCGATGACCCAGTAGATAGAAAGGTCATAAGCCAAGGCAAAGAAATGGGAAAGCTCATGATGTGTTAGGGAGACCAGATATGAGGTAAGAAATACTCCAAGAAAGTCATAGTACAAAAGGACCTCCTGAATGTTGGGCTAAGGAGATTAATTGGGAGGCAGTGAGGTTTAGTAGGAATAAGCTCTACCATCAGAACCCTAGAGCAAGTCACTTCTGCTTTAGGTACATTGCATCACCTCTGTGGAACTTCTATTCCTTGTCTGTAAAATTAAGAGAGTTAACCAGATAATGACTAAAAATTCAGTCTGATTTGACTTCCTTATGTAAGTTGCGGTGCAACACTAAACATGTTTAAACAGGAACATGACAGTAAATTTAGGAAGGTTAGTCTGGGAAGATGATTTGAGTAAAGATAGAACAGAGAAAGGCAGAGGCTAGAAGATCATCAGAAAAGTGCTGAATGTGAGCTAAATGTTTATACAGACTGGAAGCTAGAAAAGCCGGAACCGTGTCTAGGTTCCAAGGAGTATCCTGTTGGAAGGGCTAAATTAAATAGATAAGTAACTAAGCTACTTATTTTGAAAACACACCTATCCTACCAAAATACGTTCAGGAGAGAAAATAAAGTTAATTGATGGAAAATTTTATTAAAGGCTAAATCATTCCAAGGAGCTTTGGTTTGAAGGTGTGAGAACAGCAGTACTATGCCAGACTATAAAACATAAAACTGCAAAAACAAGTTACTGGATGATGGGCTCACTTTACTAGACGGGTCCCATTTACTCTTTTATTTGGATATCCTGGGGACTGACCACACTCAGTGACACTGAAAAAAGAGAGAGAGATAGAACAGCATTCGGAAATGCTGGAAACTCGGCCAAGAAAAAGTCTTTGCAAGCCAAACCGGCACTGGCTGAATATCATACCCTTTAGGTATTTGGACTCAAGAGAAAATAACCCATAGTCAGAACATTTAACTCCCTTTCTAGATCACTGACCTAAAACTTTCGGATCTTATGATTACATATCCTTGAGGTGCCTAAATCTCATGATATCGGAAGCTACTTGTACCCCCCACCCCCTTGGCAAGACCCTTACTAGTCTCCATTGTTTCTCCAAAGTCCAGAATAGAAAGCCAAATGCACAATGCCTCATGATTCCCTCAACAGTGCTTATAAAATACTGGGCACATATGAACCTTTCTGGGGAAGGAATCCCTAGTTTTCAGTCTTATCAGACCCAGCAAATTTTAATAGTCATGGCTACAGAGGTAATAAAAGGTCTG